TACTTGGAGGTTCATGGTCAGTTCTAAGTAGGGTTATTATGAACTAAGTAGGGGGATTTTTAGTAGGATAATTATAGTACTAACCCATGTCCATGAACCTGCAGGTGGGGCTCCTCAGCTACCAACATTGTTCCCTGACCCATGTAAACTTATTGAACCGTGTAAATGCCGTTCATCGAAACCCTAATCTGATCGCTCCGGCCCCTATATGAGTTGAGGTCAGAGGATTTCAGGGTCACCTAGGAAGTTGTGAGGGGCCTTGCAGGGAGCTTTCGTTTGCTGTGCCAGAGCTTCCTGCAACGATATCCTCGAGACACCAGAACCGACGCTCTGTTTTTGCTTGCTGACAGGGGCCCCAATAATCAATATCTCAAGCTAGCCCCTCTAACATGCGGGGTCTGATGGTTCCCCAAAATATTTACTGGTTCTTAGTATAGAAATACGAAAAGCAGGTCTACTTTGGCCTCCAAATTAACCTTGTCATAACCCTTTAACGAGCCCCTGGTGCCTCCAGGCTTGCACGGATTGATTCAGGCGTTGCCTTGCTGGTGAGGGCAAGGTGTAGGGTTTAGGGTTTAGGGGTTTAGGGTTTAGGGTTCGGCAAACCTAAACCCTCATGGAAGAGCAGGAAGACACCAGTAGTGTTCCCTAGATCCATGTAGAACGACACAGGTTACTTGAGCGCAGTATCCTAAACCGTCGGAACTCTACACCCGAAGCCCGAAGCCTTAAACCTTGACTTCAACCATCGCTGGCAACCACAAGAAGCCCCGCGTGGGCAACAGCCCATAACCATGAGCTCCATACTCCTACATAATTAAGCCGTGACTGATTATCTTGCTTTTCTGAGCTGCAGCCTGTGATAGGGACAATATCACTTCAAACTCTAAGAGAGTTGTCCCGTTACTGCTATGGCCCGTTCAGAGTCGCGTTGAGGAGCTATGCCACCTTAATATCATTCACCACCTTCCCGTACATTTAGGAGCACCAGCCAACAAAGGACCCTGGAGAGAAACGGCAGGATCCTGATAGGATGGACCCCCTAATTCAAAGAGCTCTCCTAGTCACCTTGCAGACATCAGCCCGAAACCCCTAAACCCCTAAACCCCTAAACCCTAAACCCTAAACCCCTAAACCCTAAACCCCTAAACCCTAAACCCCTAAACCCTGAACCCCTAAACCCCTAAACCATCTGCCCGAACACCTAAACAGCCTTGACCGCTTTGTCAGCTTTTCGGCCAGAAGCGAAAACTCCCGTGTCACTCTGGCGTCTAGCTTACCCTTACCCATCTTTCTGACATGGGTAGTTCTCCAAGTTAGGCTCCCTATATTTTAGGTTTGTAAATGAGTACGGCAGCATTTCCCTAAAAGGAACCCTAATTTCGAGAGCTACCCAGGGCTTTAAGGACGAGGGCCCTCATCCCTAAACCCTACACACCTTGAAAGAAGCTCCGTGCCGTAGCCATGATCGTCGAGCGGCTGCGTGCCCTCTCCCGACGTGCTGCTGCCCAGTTCCCAACCAGTACTCGCTGGGTTTAGGGTTTAGGGTTCCGGATTTGGGGTTCAGGGTTTCCTTTTGAGTTTTGTTTTCTGCTCAACCTGGACCGCAGGAAACCACTAAACCCTAAAGCCATCAAGCTTTGAGCACTTAGTGAGACTAGGTCCCTGAGTAGTACCCCTTTGCCCTTTTCATTTTAGGGCTCCCATACTAAAACCGAATAGTAGGAAAAAGCGTGCCCTTACTATAAAGGGGCTACTCAGGAACCAAGGAGAGCTCATGTCCGAAGAGGAGTGCCGCAGCTTGAGCATCCCTAGCGAATCTTCCGGCTTTCCGGAGTTTAGGTTTAGGGTTTAGGGTTCACCTCAGAAGCGCAAATCCGCCCTGAACCCCAAAGGCCGTTAACATTCTAGGTAGTTTTAGGGAGAACCCTTAACAGGGGACCCTTCTGAACCCGGAACCCTACTTCTGGCTCTCTAAGAAAGGACCTGATTGACAGGGTCTATATCCGCAAGGGGCCCCCTAATCCTAACTCCCATAATACCAAGAAGAGAAGCCTGAAACCTCTCAAAGCCTGCAGCCCTTGAACTCTCGAATACCCGCAACCCTAAACCCTACGCATCCCTAAAACCCCCAAACCCTAAACCCCTAAACCCTCAAACCATAAACCCTACCCTAAGCCCTTATGCTACCCCTCAAAGGCACCCTTTCACCCGAAAGCCCCCAAGAGGCTGTTGTTGCATTCAGCACGACCACCTCGCAGCTCGCTCCGAAGTTTTCAGGCACGCTGCTCGGGAGGGATTTGCGTCGGGCCAATTTGTGGGGCTGGTTTGTTTTTTTTTGTTTTCCGTGTTTAGGGCTTATTCGGGTTTCTAGATGTTTTACGATTTTGCGGGGGGGCTTTTGGGAGTTCGAGAAGCTAGCTTTTTTGGGGCTCCTTCCGGGTCTAGGAAGGGCGAACCTCATGGGCGAATTCAGGGTTTGAAGCTTGTGTAGGCCAGAGATCTGGCGGTTCTCGGCGATGTCAGTGCTTGCATGACCCCCCCCCCCCCCAGACCCTAGACCCTAAACCCTAAACCATGAACCTTCTTGGTCTTTATGGGGAGTGGAGGGGGGGAGGGTTATGGGGACTACTATAAGGGACCTTAAGGGACCAGCAGAGGGATCCATGCCCCCATGCCCTAGCCAGGGAGACACTCCCTACCTTCTTCAGGGTGAACAAGAATCACAACAAGGAGCCGAAGAAGAAGAAGAAGCTAGGCCGCCCTAAACCCCTAAACCCCTAAACCCTTAAACCCCTATAAACCCTGTGGGATTGTAGAGGGTGGGTTGGTGAAACCAAGAACCCGGCCCCAACCTGCTAGCCGATCCTGATCTAGGTTTTTTCGTTCGTATCAGCCGTATCCTAAACCCTAAACCCTAGACCCTCAACCCTAAACCCCCATAAAAACCCCAAGCCTGCAACAAAAAAGCAGCGCCAAATCCCAAAGCCCAGGAGCTGTTCAACACTTTTCGAAACACCGAAAAGCACCCCCGAGCCCAAACCCCCAAACGCTTGAGGGTTTAGGCTTTAGGGTTTTAGAGTTTTAGGGCTCAGGCTCAAACCCTAGACCCTAAACCCGAACAGCTCTCAAAGACTGGACAGGAGCTCCTTTGGCGACGGCAGGCCTGATCTTCGGAGCTGCCAATGCCGCAGGCGAAGTCTGGTACCTAGGACTTAGCCTTTACCTAGAGGTGAATAAAAATATTTTTGATTTATTTTGGTTACTAAATTCTGAAGAAACAGCGCAAATTAGTGTTTTTGCAGGGGCCCCAAGTTCAGTATAGTAGTTGAGGAACAAAGTTTCTGCACGGTTTAAAGTAATGTCGTAGGCAAAGGTGGGCGGCCTAGGCTTGAGTTTAGGGTTTAGAGTTTAGGACTGCGGGTTTACATAATCAAGGACCGGTGAATGAGTGGTGTGGGTGTATGTGGAAGATTGGAGGAGGAAGGCAGTTTGCCCCAAAAAAGCAGAGCGATGCTAACCCCCAAACCGTTAAAGCTTTATCCCCAGCCCTTTGACCCTGGACACTGAACCCTGAACCCTAAACCCGGGGCCTGATAAACCCACTGACATGGTTGCACCTGGAACAGGATTTGGCATCTCTGTAGCAACCGGCTGGCATTACCACTTGGACCTTATCGGCACTGGCATCTTTTCTGCGGCCGCACTGGCGCTGGTTGGCCAACCCGGCCGGGAACTTGGAGTTCAGGGCTCACTCAAAAAAGACTCCTCTTGGCTTTCTAGGGAGTCTTGTTTCGGCTTTTTGGGGTTCAATGACTGGTTTAGGATTTAAGGGTTAAGGGTAGGCTTGGTGTCCTCCAAACCCTAGGCCTGCAATGTTAGTCCCAACGTGCCAAAGTGATGCGCCTGCTGCAACACCGTAAACCCTCATACTATATCTCATACTATAGGGGCCTAAAGAATTGCCAATACAAAGTTTTTTGGGGTTCCGTATTATCATTATGGTCTAATATACCCCAAAATCCTGTTCTAAGTATTAAGGCACCTACATTGCGCTAAACTGCGAACCCCAAAATCTAGAGAGCAGCAGCCCTCAGCCCTAAACCCGAACTTCTAAGAGCCAAACCCAAAGTACACCCCCAACTGATCCAGGTAGGCCTTTGGGACCCTAAACCCTAGACCCTAAATCCTAACCGTATTCCGTTTTGGGCTTAAAAAGATCCCTAAACCCGAAAACCCTAAAACCCTAAACCCTATACCCAAAAGCCCTAAACCCCTACACCCCTAGCCCCCTAAACCCCTAAACCCCTGAACCCCTAAACCCTAAGCCGTGAATACTCTTCAGGGGCCCGAAGGGCAGCCAAGATGGGCTTTCTTTGGGGTTGGGGTTTAGGGGTTTAGGGTTTAGGGTTCAGGGTTGAGGGTTGAGGGTTGAGGGTTTAGGGGTTTAGGGTTTTGGGTTTGGTGGTTTAGGGTTTTAGGGTTTGGGGTTTAGGGTTGATAGGGTTTATGGCTCTTAGGAACAAGTTTTGCTCTGACCATACGAAATGAGGTGGCACTTTGGGAAGCTTTTTACTTTCCTCTTATGATTCCGATAAAGTTATCTATTCATAGATACTTTTAAGGGTTTAGGGTTTAGGGTCCCCCCCCAAATCGTGAATAATCATTAAGGCTAGCAAAGCTCCAATAAGGGCTTGTTGAAAATGTGAACTTGTGTCTTGGGTCCAAAGTGGGACAAAACTTGGCAACGGTGCAGGGTCCCCAGAATGAGATCATGACCCTTGGCCTATCAGATTGGGGAATCCCAGTGTTCCAGAGCAGCTAAGCGCCCAAGCCCCAGTTGTCTGAGGTGACCTGCGCCAGAATGCAAGCGCTGCTTGCATCTCCGTTTGGGCCACTGGGCTCTGCAGTAGTGGTTTAGAGTTCAGGGTTTAGGGCATGTTTTTGCTTGTTGTTGGATCCGGTTTTCTCATAGCCCTTCTAATCCTGCTAATCTTGAAGCTTAAGCCCTGAAGCTGTGAAGCCTGATGCACCACGTGGATAGTACTCCTTGTGAGCTGCTCAACACTCCTGACGACGCATAAAATCGCTAAAACCTAGACGGCCCACAGTAGGCTAGACCGAAGAAGCTGAGGCCATAAAGCTCGCTGCGTTCCTATTCTACAGGCAGACCCGTCCAATGGCGCAGAGACTTTCGCTTGGGGCTGTAGAGGGGCATTACAGGGGTTTGGGTTTGCAGGTTGCTGGGTTTGTGTTTTGTTTGCTTCTTGCGAGTGCAGGCTGTGTTGCTTGCGATTAAAAGGCCTCCTTTTTCCTTTTCATATGCATCAGTTCTTAAGCTATTAACGTCAACGGCGAAGAACAACCCTGAACTGTAAACCCCTCTCGCACCCTTCTAGAACGTGTGAGACCCACAAATACCTTAACACCCTAGCTAGACCATGTCCCCTGTAATACGCTGAGAGCCCGTTAGATGCCCTCAAACCCCAAGGAGTACCCCATAAGGAACCCTATAGGTAACACAAAAAAGGAGTCCTATAAAGACAGACAGGTGTGCCTGAAGCAGATCCTTCGGTGCCCTGCGTTGTAGGGTTTAGGGGTTTAGGGGATAGGTTTTAGGGTTTTTAGGGCTTGTCTAGACTAGAAGGTCCGCCCTAGACCCCAAATCCACTTAACTTGAATAAAGCACGGTAACTTTAGATTACCGGGCGATTTCTACCTGTGCTACGAACCCTAGCCCCTAAACCTTTTGGGTCCCATTTAGGGTCCCTTTTAGGGTAGTTTTTCAAGGTGTCGTATTATTTTTGGGGCCTAAAACGGGACGCCGAGACCTAAACTCTAAACCCTAAACCCAAAGCCCTGAAGCGCGAACGCCCTCAACCCGACATCCGAAACCCCGAGCTCAACTGAAGTGCATCGCATCGGGTTGTTGAGCTCTTGCGGGCGTAAGGTTTGGGGTTCTTATAGGGGTTCGTTTGGATTATTTCAAGTTTGCTACAGGTTTACTTAGGGTTTTGGGTTTGAGGGTTTATGATATTCTTTAAGGGTTCCCTTAGGGCATCTTATTATGAACCCTAAACCCTAAACTTAAGCCCTAAACCCTGAACCTTAAACCTTCTTAGGGGATCTTATGATCAGGAATCGCAGCGACTTACCTGAGTCCCCGACCCACCAAACAGGGTTTTGGGGGTTTAGGGTTTTAGGGTTTGGGTTTCGGGTTTCGGGTTCAGGGTTTAGGAGTGTAGGGTTTGGGGTTTGGGGGTTTGGGGTTTTGGGCAAGTAGACCTCTGACTGCAGTTTAGCATGTGGGTGCGAAGGTCTATGTTACCGTTATAGGAGCCTTATAGAAGGTCTATGTACCTTATAGAAGCCTTAATACAAGCCCCTTTTTTACCGTAAACTCCCCACCTCTAGTTTCCTTTTAAACCCTAAACCCTAAACCCCCTTAAAGGAACCCTAAACTCCCCACCTGTAGGTTTCCTTTAAGTAAGGTGTGGGTGCGAAGGCCTAGAGTCTAGGACGCCTTCGTCGAGGCCACACAGCTTTGGGGTTTAGGGTTTTAGGGTGAAAGGATCCCTAGGGTTTAGAGCTTGGGGTTTTGGGGTTTGGGGTTTAGGGTTTTAGGGTTATAGGATCCCGTTCATAATTAATCCTGATCGAAAGTGGGGAGCTATGAACCAGGAGACCAAATACATGCTATATGGGTAGTTCTCTAAATTAGGGTCCCTTTCAGGGTACTTTTTGTAAGGGTGCCGTACTATTTTGGTAACCCAAAAAGGGACCCTAATTTAGAAAACCAGGCATATGTTCCTAAAATGGCCTCGCCTCTTGACTTTTTGCGCGAAGGCTATGATCCACCAAGCTCGGGGGTCCTTGGTTGAACGAGCAGAGACCAAAAAGCGCGATGACATTTAGCCCATGTAGCATCCACAACACCGTGACTTCCTCCAAGCCAAACGAACCAATCCCTCAACACCAAGCCCGACATGCTAAACGCTTAAAGCCCCAACCCCTTAAGCCCTCAACCCTTGGGGACAGTAGCATTTGGCAGCGATTGCAGGGTGCTGCAAACCCGCCACGATGCACGCCTGGATGATCAGCTGGCAACAACCAAAGGGGCCGGGCGGACGGTCTACGAGTTTGTGTTAGAAGTTCGGGGTTGTTCGTTTATGGCGTGGGGTTTAGCTTCTTTGTGTTTTAATGGATTTCTGTTGAGATTTTTCTCTGTTTGCTACCTGCGGTAGCAATGCTTATACTGACCACACTGCTGCCATGCCAATGACTACATGGTCACACTCTTGGAAAAGCTACTAGTAGCTTAAGGTAGTGGCGAGTGCTATGTCTTGTCATTTGTATAACTGTTCTCGCGGTTGCTGCTCCTTGCTGTTGCGACTGCCGGTGCTGCTACTGCATACTTCCTACTGGTTCCTACTTGCTACTTGCTGCTGTCTAATCCTGCTATGCACTATAGTCGCTACTCACTGCTCGCCACTTTCAGCGTAACTGAATACCTGCCACATGGTACTACCTGCTGCTGCTACTACCATGACTACTGCCACGGCGACGACGGGTGCTACACAACATCGCCAGCACCAACAGCATCTCTCGCCATCCTCACCGCTGCTCTTGGCATTTTGCTTTCAGCTTCCGAGTGTTTAGGGATTTAGGTTTCAAGGGTTTAGGGCTAGAGGGCTTTAGGGTTTAGGGGCGCCTTCAATTCGAATCTTCTGGGCTCTAGACGTCACAGTGCGCGGCTGGTGCAATCTTGAAGTCGATTTTTTTCTGTAATTTATACAGCCCTGTGCTAGCCTTCATGCCTCCTTGCGCAGACACTCCGAGAGCGTTGCGCACGCAGACAGAGCCTGAACCCGAACACATACGCCCCCCGCAACAATATACAGGCCCGACAGTGAAAACCGCCAACCCCGCAGAAACATCAACAACCCGAAACAAACCCCGACGAAGCCCAAAAAATAGCCTTTGCCTTCTGGTCTTGGGCTTGCGGTTTAGCTTAACGCCCGTCAAACGCAGCCCAAACAATAAGTATTACTAAATAGTAACCATTAAGAATAAAGAACAATACCAGTAACAATACCAGAAATAATAGTAGTAATAATAACACTGAGTATTACATAAATAGCAACATTATTATTAGCAAGAAAACAAGCAAACATGATAATAAAGAGAGCTGACGAAGCCCCAAGAAGCTTAGGTAGCTTTAGGGAGACCCCGCAAGGGTCCCCCTCCTTAACCCGGCTCCCTTAAACGGGGAACTATTGAGAGGGTCTATATCCCCCAAGAATCCCCTAAAACCTCGACCTGATAAAGCCCAAACCCTAAACCCTAGGGTCACCCCAAACCTTAAACCCTAAACCCTAAACCCCAATCCTAACTCCCAAAGAGGCCTTTGGCTTCTGGTTCATCTCCTTCGCCTGGGGCTGGCTGGTTTTCTTGCCTCACAGCCTCGCAGCGGGCGTTCCGGCAGTGCTCCGCCCGCCCTTCGGGGCGCTGGCGCCTTTGCTAATCTTCTTGCTTAGGATTTAGGTTTAGGGTTCAGGGTTTAGGGTTTAGGGTTCAGGGTTGAGGGTAGAGCTTGGTTCAGGGTACTGAGTGCTTAACGTGTTGGGGTCTAGAGTTTAGGGTTGGAGGGCTCTCGGCATAAGTTGCTGCTTTGTTTCTCTTGCCTTGACTTCCGCCAACTCGCCCCCCCAATGGGGCCCAGAAGCTCGACCCTTACTGCAGAATTTCGAGCTCCTACAGCGTGAATCTGAGAGCCCGGCGGCCCTAAACCCCAAAGCTTAAACCGAACCCCAAATTCGACATCCCCAAAACCCGAAACTCTCTGACCACAGGGCCCTTATCCAGCAACTAAGCTTTCATTCTGAGGCTTTGAGTGTGGTACAGTTTCGGCATTAGGATTTCGGGGATAGGCATCTAGGCTTCGGGTGTTTGAGGTCTAAGGTTCAGGGGTTTAGGGTCTTCAGGGTTTCGGGTTTAAGGTGTCGAGGTCTTGATCAGGGTATGCAGTGATTCAGGGTGTCGACCTTAGAAAGTTTCATCTGCCGGTCGAGTGTAAGACAAGCAGTGATTCAGCTACGACAAGCCCCTTGTCGAGTGTCTCGAAGTGAACACGGGTTCAGAGTCCCAAACCCTAAACAGTTTGGGGTTCAGGGAATCCAAGTACAAGCTAATCGGCTGCAAAACTCGGATAGGCATCCCTCAGGTACTTTGCAGTAGACCTTAAGATTTAGGGTTCCAGGTGTTTAGGGTGTTTCGGGTATAGTAGTGTAGGGGTGTAGGGGTTTGGGTCTAGGGTTTAGTAGTTTAGGGTGTAGGGGTTTCGAGTTTAGGGTTTACCTAGCCAGCCCCCCAACCCCCGAATCTTCATGCGAACTCGATAGAATCCTCAAACCTTGAGCCAGCGTCAACGCCCCAATTCCAAAAAGCTCCTTACACCGATATACCAAACACCCCAAACCCCGAGACTCCGCCCTTAAAGTATGCATCTCCTTACACCTATATACCAAAAAAACCCCAAACCCCGAGACTCCCTCTAAAAAAAGTATGCATCATCACTTCAGGGCTCCTACTTAAAAAAGACCCCTGAAATCTCGAACTCCCTCCAGGCCCCTGAAGCCCCAACCGCCCGGAAGCTCTCACGCCTAAATCCCGCCATAAAACCCTAAGCCCTAAACCCTATAAATCCTAAATTCCCTAAACCTTAAATCCTAAACCCTAAATCCTAAATCCCCTAAACCTTAAATCCTAAACCCTAAACCCTAAACCCTAAATCCCCTAAACCCTAAACCCTAAACCCTAAACCCTTCAAATCCCTAAACCCTTAAACCGGCGCGGATGTAAGGACTGTCTGGGCCTGGGCTGCTTTGTGACAGGCCGGTGCTCCTCCAGAGCAGTTTGGGTGTAGGCTTTAGGGTTTAGGCTTTAGGCTTTAGGTTTTAGGGTTTAGGCTTTAGGGTTTAGGCTTTAGGTTTTTTTTTCCACCTGTTTGGGGTTCGGGGTTTGCAGGGGCAGGATCTAGGGTGTAAGTATTCGTTTTGTGGTTTCGTGTCGCTCAAGGATTTTGGCGCAGGGTTTTTCAGGCCTTTCATGATCGACATGTCAAAGGAAGCCTTGCGACAGGTCTTGCTGTGGAGTCGCTGGCTGACTGGCAGAAGTGGCGCTTTAAGCAGGCAAAATGTTAGGGGTCTTTGGTTTTTTGGAGGTTTTCAGGGTGTAGACCCTATAAGACCTAAACCCCTGAACCCTAAACCCTAAACCCTAAATCCTAAATCCTAAACCCTAAACCCTAAGCCCTAAATTTGGACCCAAACCCCTGAACCCTAAACCCTAAACCCTCAAGTTTAGCGTTTACCCGAAACCTCCGGAGGGTGTGAAAGAGCCTCTCCGAAGCCGCTAACCCTTCGGACCTTGAATCGCAGCAAAAAAACCCTAAACCTTATAAACTTTAGGGTTTAGGGTTTGGGGGTTTAGGGCTTAGGCTTAGGGAGTTTCTTTAGGGTTTAGGGCTTGGGGGTTTAGGGCTTAGGCTTAGGCAGTTTATGGCTTTAGCCTCGCCATGAACAGCAAGGCCTCGATCCCGAATCTGAAGCCCGAGTCCGTATCTTTGGGGCTACAAGCAAAGATGGGGTTTGGGTTTCAGGATTTTGGGTAGTTCTCTAAAAGGAACCTAAACGGGACCCTAATTTAGAGAACCACCCTTTTGGGGTTCGGGATTTCGTAACCCTCAGGATGGCTCTAAAACTACTCTCCGCCCCCCAGGCCAAAAGCCTCAAAATGCCTTCAACGCTTCCAACACTCCACGGTTTAGGCTTCAGGGTTTAGAGCCGCCCTGATATAGAACCACCCAAAGCCCATACGGAACCTTAAATTACTACCAGGACCCAGAGACCCTAAACTCTAATCCCTAGGTAAAGACTGGGTTGCCCTAACCCTCCAGGTGCCCACTATATATGGCCCTAGGGGCTCTAGTACCCTATATAGTAGGTACCTGGGGGGTTAGGGTTGGACATTAAACATTAAACAATTTCCCTGATGTTTCCGGGGCTTTAAAGGGCCAACCTAGAAGACACTCAACCACTCAACCACGCCCTGCCAGGACCCCGAGTCGCGCGGCAAGTTCTGCAATGTGGGCGTTTGGCAACTGTCGCAGCTATTGGGATGCATAGCTTCTTAGTCAAGTGTCCCACGGGGTTTACGGTTTAGGGTCTACCCAGCACCCTAAACAAATACCTATGGCTTTGTTTGTGATGCTGTTCACTTTACGTTGCAGAGTTTTGCCGGTCCGGGTAGCCCCTATGGGTAGTTCTCCGCAATAGGGTCCATTCTAGGTCCCCAGAATAGTACGTCACCCTTACAAAAATGGCCTTAAAAGGAACCGAAACCCTGATATAGGGGCCTGAATAATTGCCTATGCTATTTTTGGGCGTTCCTTATTATTACAGATAGTGTAGCACACCCCCCAAGCCCTATTCTAATCATTAAGGCCCCTACAACCGCCATGTGGAAGCTCAGGCATCCGAACTGGTGTGGCAACTTCGTCGCGTGCTCCTCAGAAGTCACAGGCGCATCGGTAAACTCTGCACCTAATGTAGGGGCCTTAATTATCAGAATAGGGTTTTGGGTGTTCCCTATTATAAATAAATGAAATGATATACCCCCAAAAACCCTATTGAAATGATTAAGCCCCTATAGTAATGGGCTGGAGGGTTCAGGATTGAGGGCTTGAGGGTTGAGCACCCCGAGCTTGAATAAGCTTCACCCTTTTAAGCTGGTTGCCTAAGCCCTGAAAGCCTAAACCCCAAAAAGGTGTAGAACCCTGAAAATGCATATCAGTTTAAGGAACCCTCTCTCTCTATGTATGTGTGTATGTATGTAACGTATGTATGTATATATATATATAGATGTGTGTGTGTATTTATGTATATTTGTATATGCACACGTGGGCATTCTTGTACATTTTGTAAATATACGTATAGATATACAAACAAACAAACAAATAAATACATAAATGAATACATAATTAAATATCGAAATAGAAAATTAAATACATAAATATATATTAAAATAAATAAGTGAATGATTAGTAATAATAAGAACA